CAGTTACGAGGGTATAATCGCGATCGGATTTGAGTAGTATTTTTCATAATCTCGCAACCTCGGAGGTACCCTCAACGCCACTACAGAATTCGAGGAAGACCTCTTGGCTTCTCGCAAATCCTCTCGCGAAAACTGCTTATATATTTTCCACTCAGACTCGTGACTCAACCTTCTTGACTTGTTGAACTGCGTTCTGCGGGCTTTCCGCAGTGAATTCAACTCCCAAGACCACCAGTGGGGTTTTCGCTTGCCCCTGGGTCTAGGGTCAGGACAAGTCTTAGCCAGAGCCTCTGAGCAAATCCGAGTAAAAGAGTTAACCATATTTTCCAACTCACCAGTGGTACTGGGATCACTTGGTGCTGGATATGACAACTTACGTTCCAAAGCGTCTTTTTAGACTTCCTAGTCTGTATTTCTTACATTCTTTCGAACCTGCGGTGCAGTTAGAGAAAAGTCTAGAATCGTCTCAATATATCTGAAAATCGGAAAAATAATGTTCGTTAAGAACTCCCCAGCTTGTAACCATATCAAAAAGATTGTCGTTACATAGCGTAAAGTCTATGACCTTCTGAGGCGCCCGTACTGTACATGTCAAGCGTTAGCGTCGCCTCCGATCAGAACGAAACCTGTGATGTGTTCGTCCATCAGTCTGCGCAACAAAGATTTCGGAGGATCCCCAGCCTCATAGGGTATGTAAACGGAGGCCAGCACGATCGAACCGCCTCCTATCTCCAGTATGATATGTACTCGTGATGGAACCATCGCTATAATAAGATAGGAAGATATAGATAGATATTTCAATCCGACTTTGCAATCACACAGGTTCTTATTTTACCTCTATTGAGCAGTATGGGATTTGAAGGGAGCTGGAAACTTATTTGGGTCATTCTAATATAATAAATATATAATTAAAATAATATTTCTTTAAACTTGTTTGCTTGATTATGCGCTAAATTTGACGCGTAAGTTTACACAATTTGTGCAAACAGATCCCAATATAAATTCTGATTTTTGAAATTTCAAGGTCGGTTTCTACGCATATATATATATATATATATATTACATTAACATTCTCTGATAAGAGAAAGATGGCCACAGTTTGAATATCAGTGCACATGAATTTTCGTACGCGGAAACTGTACTATGAAATAATAGTGTACGTCTGAGCTAAGTGTGGTGAATTTGTGAATGTACAGTTTGATTATGCTTATTCATTAGGTTCGCACCTTGACTAAATAGTCAAAACAGGAAACTAAATAATTTTTAACGGAAGCGAAGAAACGAATTAATTTTTTTAAATTCGTTTTTGGTGCTTATAAAATGTGTTTGCTATTATAGTACGTGACCACTTTCTCCAATTTTTAACCGCCTCTCCCCCCTCGGTGTCAAAATATATCGTAACCAGAACTTAATTTATAGAAACAAAAGTCCTGTGAGTTTAGAAAACGCAAAACACTGCGCTTCATATTTTGAATGTATCAAAAAAAAGCTAGATTTCTTTAGAGCAGAGGTTCCCAAACGTTTTTTCTCGCAGACCCTTTCAATACTTTACTGGTTTCGGTAGACCCCCTGTTGCTGCATTTCTAACATGTTCCCATAGCTCGTAAAAAAAATTTGAAGAAAAGAATTGAAATTTTCCAACACCTAAATTTGTAATTGACAACTAACCTTTGTTTTCGTTTTGTTTTGGCCAGCAGTTACAATTAGAAAATGTCGTTGATAATTGAAAGTTCCATAAATAAATTGATAGCAGAAGTTGAAGAAAGGTCAGCATTATATAATTATTATAATTATATTTAAATTATATCTGTGGTCATAAGCAATAACCGCCTAAGTCGAAAAACCTGAATTCGAGAAAAAGCGCTTTAAAGATTTGCATCCAAATTCATAAAAATAAATAATACTTTAACTGCTTGGTAAATCGAAATTTATATAATTATATTTTTATGAGAATTATATTGAATTTTAACTCCTGCCAATTTTAATTTAAAGTGGATTTTATTGAAGTTCACTCGGAAGTGAATTGCAGAACCTGCCTGTATATCTTATATATAAATAGGCAAACATGGCGGTAATTGACGGTGTTTATCAGGTAGCTACCGATTCAGCAGTCCTGTAGTCACTCCCCCGTACTGCAGAGGACCGCCTACTTGCAGTGTATTTTATCGATTACTTTTACAAGGCAATGTCCTGCCGGTAGTCACCATCGGCACTCTCTGCACTACCGGGAGTTACTAAAGTAGTCACTGGCGTGATTTATGGGCGCCCTCTGTCGTAGTTTTACGCTATTCTGCTTACGACTGGTTCGACTCTGCACTACCATGTGCACTACCACGGGTTAATAGAGTAGCTACACACATATGCCAAGAATAGTAGCGCTGTGATTCCATATGGAATACTAATCCCTTTCGATGTAATGCGTTTTACCTATGGTCTTATTTCCACCTGTGAGATCTCAACATCGTCAAGTGGAAGTAGATGCAAGATCACGCTTACACAGTGTTACGGTCTTTATATGCATACTTAAACGCATTGTTTATTTAGCCATGTGAAAAGTAAATTCGTCTAAGATAAACGTAGGGCCAAAGCAGAACAAACCCCGTGGGGGTTTCTATATATTTCGGGTGCAGCGTCATTGGGTCCCTTTTCTGCAACACCTTTGCTTGTCATGAAATGAATACGAATTATGAATTCCAATCAGATTTTATAAAAAATACGGACTTTCTAACTACCTAAACTCCAGCGGGTCCATTTTTAGCAAAGGAATTTTTCACATACAGGTAGTCACGCTGCGAATTTGAACGAAATCTGTTAATAAATACGACTTTTATAAGTAACTCTACTCCAGCGCCACCAGCGTGTTTTCTAGTAGCCTATAATAATAATAATAAATTTGAAATTCGGACTTACGTGGGCTTTCATACATTCATAAAGAAAAAATAAAAAATAAGAAAAATTGCCAAAACTTGTTAAAATGTCGCGCCCCTATTTATTCACCCGTCACCGCATATATGTACATACATGAGGAATGTACTAAGATAGCGTGGGATTTCTGGTCTTACAATAACAGTTGCAACACATACTAAATAAATTCCAACGTCAAAGTTTACCCTCGGCAACAGCAAAAACCCATGCGTGAGTGGGTCACGGTAGAACGGTTTGAGAGCAAGCACCCATAATGGGAAAGATCCGTCCAGCTAGTTTTGATTCTCCTGTGAAGACGAACCCTGACATCACCGCAATTAAGGAAATGCAATGCGCGGGCTAAGGAAAGTAAACGTCCTTGTGACATGCAATCAAATTGACAAAGGATCGCTTCTATGAGTATTTGGAGGGCTCTTTTGAGTAACCGCTCTTCAAGGTATAAAAAGCTTGATTGTTGACCTCAATTTTGGGGCGGTAAAATGAACGTTCAAAACACTGTTTTAAGACTTTCATGACAATATTTTATTCAAAAATTAAAACAATTTAGTTCTAAGAATATTTATGACTATTTAAAAGCACTTTTATACAAAATAGCTAAAAACTACTACTATAATACTCGAACTAAAAATATTTGTTTTTTTCTAACTGCGAAGTTTTCACAAAGATCACTCATTTGTAGGTATGTATGTGTATTCGCACACACATACGTACATAGTATATTTAATATATAGTAATAGCGAAAATGTGGTTCATTATGCTCTAAAAAATATCTGTGTGAAATGTAAAAGTTTTTGGTCAATATCCTAGGCTCGCCCAAGTCCATCAAAGTTCAGGTACTAAAAAAAATTGTTTCTTAGCTAACTTCGATTCTCTACAAAAGAGAAGATTATTGCAATTTTAGTAAAAAAATGTATTACTTAATTAATTTATTTATTAATTTTAATTTTTTGGCCATATTGAACTTTGATTAGCGAGCCTAAGATATTGACCAAAAATTGTCATATTTCACACAGACTCTTTTTAGAGCATTATGAACCATATTTTGGCTATTACCAATCAAAATTCTAAAAAAAGCTGATTTTCGGCCTACGCTAATATTTATGTATATAGACAAAAAAAATAGTGGCAATTCATAGTTTATATAAATATTTCATTAAAACATAAACATGTATACATACGTACATTTTCATTTATTACCCTAACTTAAAAAATATTTTACTAATTAACAAAGTCTTTTTACATAAAAATACAAACATATACAAACATACAAATTTAAAAATATATGAAAAGTAAAATTAAGAAATAAAAGCGAAAAATAGATTGTACATGTGAATGCTGTCAGGGCATTCAGCTTCATTTGTCTGTATAAAAGTATACAAATTCAATTTGCAATTTAAATATTTACTACATACATGCATACATAATATTTTATCAACTGCAAAAACAAAAACAAGATTTGAAGTTGTAAAAAATAGTTACACCAAAAGGAATTTACTTATGGAGAAAAGAGTTTTATGCGGTGAAATTTTGAAGGGTTTCTTTTTCAAGTCCGCTTGCCCACCGTTTATCGTTTATTGGAGGAGCACGCAAAAAGAGAAAATCTTGTCTTAAATATTTATACACATGGCAGTTGGCTTTAAATTAATATTGTTGTTGTTGCATTTTATAATTTTCAAACTAAATTTTATTTTATATAATACAATAAAAATAAATACAATGCAACACTTATAAATACTACACGAATCGATTCATTCATTTGGTTTCGTCTATTTTACATAAATCATGCGATTCTTCACGTGTTCGGTAATAAACTAAGTTTAAAAAAAAAATTAATTTCAAAAACAAAGAAATGCAACATTGGCACCTTTTATACAAAATTAAGTTAGGCTGTTTCGTTAAAACAAACGCGAGTTAAATCTACGATAATATGCACAGCTCAGTTCCCGCGCCTTTACTTGTGTGTGTGTGTGTGTGTTTGCGTTGTGTGATGATAAAGCCATTCGTTTCGTAATTATTGCAGCGTAAAATTTGTAAAAAAATATTCTTTGATTTTTTTTATCTAAAGTGTTGTTTTATTTTTTAATTTCTGTCAGTATTTAGGTTTTCTGCTTCTGGCTCTACATCATCTCGTGCCGGTCTTGTGGAACCTTGATG